CAATCCAACCCAACATTTGTTTTCATCTTAATCTCATAATTAGTGTTCTCAACTGCTTACATGCTAAAATTCCTTCTATTTGTGACAAAAGCAACACTTATCCAGCTGTCAAAAAGATAAAAACACCTAAAAACTGCAAAAACAATACACAAACAGCGCTTCCTGAGGCTCAAACAGTAGGGTTTGTCATGCATTATATTATAGTAGTGCTGTCAAACAATTAATCGCGATAAATCACTTCCAAAATAAAGTTGTGTGTGCTGTGTATAGTTATTAAGCTGTCAGACGCGAGGTGGCGCTAATGACCTTTTCCTGACCTGCCAGGGCTAGACGTGACGTCACAGGCGTAAAGCCACGCCCAGCTGAGCGCAGGTTTGTTCTGAGACTGTGAACAGAAGAACTCATCATATCAACACAACACGATAAAAAGCGCTTTCTGGTAGGAGTTGGTGTCCAAAGTCATTTCTTTATGTTTTATTTTAACAGGTTACTCGTTGTCATGGATCACAAGATGTTACAGGCCATTACAATATAATATTTCCTGTAAAAAGTGTTATGAATTAGTCCGTTTATCACGTATCATCCCACATGAAAAAATACTGTAGTAATTTATAGTAAATACTATGGTGTTTTTGAGCCATACTATAGTAAAGTGTGTTATACTGTGTATATTATAGTATGTACCACACTTGGTTAATGAATGCTATAGCATACTGTAGTATAAACTATAGTAAACGGATGAATACTGTAGTATATATTACAGTAAACTGTAGTGTATTGTAGTATAATATACTCTATAGTTGTAGAACAGTATTGGAGGTAAAGATTACAATAGTTGATATATTACCACAGCAACTATAGAATTACCACAACACATTAATTCAAGTACTTTACTATAGTATGCTTCAAAAACACTGTAGTGTTTACTATAAATTACTATCGAATTTTTTAATTAAATATTTTATTTCACTTTTCTTTTGGTAATATTTCATTTATTTATAAAAGCCCTAAATAGTTATTTTCCTAATCCTACAACATTAAATTGTTTAAAAATTATAGTTTACCATGCTTTGCCTTTAAATGAGTGGACTTTTCTCCCACAGCTGTGAGTGTGAGAGAGAGTGTGTGTGTGTGTGTGTGTGAGAGAGAGAGAGTGTGTGTGTGTGTGTGTGTGTGTGTGAACCACAAAAACACCACACACTCCTTCAGCTCCATGCTTTGCCTTTAAATGAGTGGACTGTGTGAGATACAGGAAGTGATGTCACTCACTGATAAGCTCTGAAGCACTGACAAGTCTGTGTTCAAATCTCATAAACATTATTGAAGTATTTTTGTACAAGTGGACAGTTCTGTAAAGACATGGGTATTTTTGAGTGTGTGTGTGTGTGTACCTGGTATTTATCACGTTATGGGGACCAAATGTCCCCACAAGGATAGTAATACTAGTAAATGTTGACCTTGTGGGGACATGTTTGAGGTCTCCGTGAGGAAACAAGCTTATAAATCATACAGAATGAGTTTTTTTGAGAAAGTAAAAATGCAGAAAGTCTCCTGTGAGGGGTAGGTTTAGGGGTAGGGTTGGTGTAGAGTATAAAAACCATTACACCTATGGAGAGTCCCCACTTTTCACAAATGTAA